ATTGATATTCATTACTACAAAATCATAATGGCTTTTAGACCCATCACTAGGTATTACTTAATGAAGAGCCATCTACAGGCACCTATACGTATTACCATTAAAAAACTTGTGATTACTGTTATTTCTATATAGCTGATGTCCTTTGTAATCCTAGGTATGCATTTACAATTAACATGCTGAGAAGCAATCCGTAGGCTTGGGCAAACTGCTAAAAAGGGCTCCGTGGCACAAAAATGGCTAAGCCCCCTGATCTAAGGATTCTAAGTAAAAAGTCTCTTACCCACCTAGCCTCCAGTATTGGATTGTGTTCCCAGAGACAGTCTATGTATGTACAACCACAGGTACATATGTGTATATATTTATGTTCTACTCAGTCACTGTGTATACTGTTTTACACCTTTTTTTCTTTTTCTTTTTTTCTGATATTTTTACTATAGGGCCCATGTGCTAACCAGAGAGACAGAAAGCAAGAAGTCACCTCCCCACCCCCCACAGGGGGGTGGAGGGATGACCACACCACAGTCTGTTCTCCATTCTCACCTTGGGATTTGGGGTATGCATGCATATACGCCTGGTCTGAGTTTCAAGCCGCCAGGTCTAGGACTCGAACCACAATCAACCATGTGGTAGTCTAGCATCTTAACCACTATGCCCTCTTTTTTTCCTAAAAGAAACAAAACAGATTTTTGCCATAAGGTGTGTACAGTCTATTCCCTGAGGAGAGGCAGAGAGAGACGGAGAAAGGTAAAGTGGGAAATCACCCCCCAGGGGTATGGCCACAACATACTTCTCCATCCTTCTCTCAGGATTTTTGGCACTCATGCACATGTGCCCACATGATTTAGAAGCTGCCAAGTTCAGGACTCAAAACTATGGCTGGCCATGTGGGAATCCAGAGCCTTAACCACCATGCCATAAACCGGCCTACACCTTATTTTTTTAAAAATAATTATTTTATTTAACTTTATTTAACTCCTAGAAATGGAGTTGCTAGGTCAAAGGGTATATTTCTAAATTCGGTAAGTATTGTCAAATTGTTTTCCATAGAAATTACAATAATTGAGATCAGCCGATGGAGTAATGGTTACGTTGTTGGATTCCCACATAGTCGACCATGGTTCGAATCCTGGACGTAGCAACTTAAAACTGACTCTGGGCACATGTACGTGCCTGCTCAAATCCTGAGAGGAAAATGGAGGAGGACGGATTATGGTGTGGCTATCCCCAATGGGGGCTGATTTCTAGCTTTCTGTCTCTCTGGTAAGCACATGTGCCATATAGCAAGAATCTCTCTCTAAAAAAAAAAAAAAGATAATAATTTACATTACCATTAATACATGAGGACATATTTCCCCACACCCTCCCTAACAATGTATTAAATGTTTTAAACCTTTAAACAACATGATATGTAAAAAGCAGGATCTTGGGGCCAGCAGGTGGTATGGTGGTTAAGGGCCAACTGTATCTTGATTCCCTGACCTGGCAGCCTGAAAATCAGGATAAGTATGTGTGCATGAGTGCCCGAGATCCCAGGAGCAGAATGGGGAAGAAATTGTGGTGTGGCCAACCCCCTAGGGTGATTTCTCACTTTGCCTCCTACTGTCTCTCTCCCTCAAGCTGAGCACACCCTATGGCAAAAACTTTTTTTTTTTAAAGTAGGATCTCCTCTTGGGTTTAGTTTGCAAATATTTTACTATGGATGAGGTTTTTTTCTTTAAATACTGAATTTAGTGAAAGAGGTGTAGTCTCAAAGCAGAATTAAATGCAGGCCAGGCAGATGTCATGGTGGTTTAGGCAACTGGGTCCCACATGGCTGACAGCAGTTCAAGATTCATGCCTGGGGACAAGCAGGTGGCATGGTGGTTAGGTGCTGGACACTCCCACATGGCCAACCATGCATGGTTCAAGTCCTGGACCTGGTGGCTTGCTTTCTCCCCTTCCCTCTGTGTGTGTCTCTCTCTCTGGTCAAATTAAAGTAAATAAATGAATAAATGAAATTAAATAAATAATTCTTTAAAAAAACCGCCAAAACACAAAATCCCAGACCTGATAGTTTGAAAAACACACCAGGCACATGTGCATGCACGCCCAAAATTCTGAGAGGAGAATGAAGAAGGGATTGCAGTGTGACTACTCACCCTGGGGGAGGTGATTTCTCACTTATCCTGTCTCTAGAGAGTACACACTCCCTAACAAAAACTAAAAAAACAAAAGCAGAATTACATCCATATGCTACCATATGTGTAAATCTGTGTATATCCTTAATTCTTTTGTCCACCAACTCCTTCAGAATCTAATTGCCAGTCCAAAGCTAATTTTCCAAAGGTTGGTTTGCTGTCAGGGCCCCTCCTGCCCTACATTCTCACAGGCTAGCTCTACCTGCTCTCTCCCTATGTCACAGAACTGTTTGCTGCTAGTCTACGTCTCCAGCACTCTGCCACCCTGCTTTGGGATGTCATCAATGTAGCAGGCATTCACTTAGTATCCTGGGTAAGCCAATGTCCTGAGCAAAGAACTCTAGCTAGGTTGTGTCTCATGCATTATAAAGCTTTTCAGAATTTCCTTTAAGATTTCCAGAATATATTGCCCTTATTTGGAAACAGTTTTGAATGTGGTTTTAATCACCTTACACCTACTATCTGGACATCTCTGGATCATGTTGGCTCATTTGCTCAGAAGGGAAAATCTCATGGAGGCAAAGGCTACTAGGGTGCTCAGTAACTCCTATAATAGGAAACTCAGGCCTCTAGGTGCAAGTTGCCATTGTCCAGGTTGACACTATGTGAACATAACATCAAATGCAGCTGAGGGAGAGGGTGTAGTATATTAAAGGAATCACAGTTGTGCTGGCAAGGTTTTGTTGTTCTTAATACATTTTTATATGTCATAAACGTGACACTTTAGTTTTTAAAATGTAGATATACAGAATGTAGGCCCTTGAAAGGACAGTCATACTGTAACCCCTATACTGCAGATAAGGGATGATGTCTTTATTATTATTTGGTATATGGCACATGCACTTGCTGGAGAGACAGAAAAGGTAGAGTGAGAAACCTGCCCCCATCGCCCCTGCCAAAGAAGATGGCCACACTGGAATCCCTTCTCTTTCAGGATTTTGGACATGCACATATATGCACCCAACATGCTTTTAAAGCCACCAGGTCTTGGGACCAGCAGTTACTGTAATGGCTATGTCGCTGGACTCCCATGTAGTCGACCACAGTTAGAGTCCCGGACTCAGTGGCTTAAACTCACGCCAGGCGCGTGTGCATGTGTGCCCAAGATCCCAAGAGGAGAATGGAGGAGAAGGGATTGCAGCGTGGCCATCCCCCTGGGGAGTGATTCTCGCTTTATGTCTCTGTTTCTCTCTGTCTCTCTGGTGAGCGCTCACGCCCTATAGCAAAAACCTCTCCAAAAAAAAAGCCACCAGGTCTTGGACTCGAACTGTGCAGTTCACAATGTATGATCCAGCTGTCTTAACCACCATACCACTAGCTGGCTCAAGGAATGGTGTCTTTATATTGACATTTTTAAAAAAGAATTATTTTACTTAACTGTATTTATTTAACTTATTCACTTGTTTATTTCAATTTGACCAGAGAGGGACAGAGTAAGAGAGACAAAGTGAGAAAGCAAGCCACCAGGTCCAGGACTCGAACTGCAGTCACCCATGTGGGAATCCAGGGCTTTTAACTACTACGCCACCTGCCGGCCCCTATATTGACATTTCTAATCTCCCCTTTTAAGGTTTGTGCTCACTGAGTGAGAAGGAAAGTGAGAAACCACCCCTCGGGGGATGGCCATGTCTCATTCTGGGCACACATGCACATGGGCCTGGCATGATTTTCAGGCCACTAAATCTGGGACTTGAACTGTGATCGGCCATGTGGGAATCCAGCACCTTCACTACGACACCACCTACTGGCCCTGACATTTCTCCCTTTTACCAACACTTGGTGAATAGCTGTTTTGTCTAGGATGGACGACTCAGGGAAGAACTGAGGTTCTTTTTTCCCTTCAATAAATATTTATTTAAAAATGGAGTTAATGTTCAATGGTGATTATGTGCCATGTACTGTGTCAAGACAGTGGAGCTAATAGTGTAGCAGACTAACTTGTAAAACAAGTGATATCCAGGAACTTTATTATTTAATTCTCATATAGTAACCCATGTAGTTGATGTCCAATGTTATTAGCTGTGTGAATGGTGTCAGCTGATATTTGGCTCCCTTAAAAACGTTTCTAGGGGTTACCAGGTAGCGTGGTGGTAAAAGGCACTGAACTCCCACATGGCTGACTGCAGTTTGAGTCCCAGATCTGGTGACTTGCTTTCTCACTTTCCCTCTCTCTCTCTGTTGCTCTCTGATCAAATGGAAAAATAATAATAAAGTTAAATAAAATAATTATTTAAAAAAGAGGTTTTTGCGGCCAGCAGATGGCGTGGAGGTTAAGGGGGCTGGACTCCCACATGACCGACTGCAGTTCAAGTCTCGGACCAGCAGCTTGATTTCTCACTTTCTTTCTCTCTCTCTCTCTCCCTCCCTCTCTGGTCAAATTAAATAAATAAGGTTAAATAAAAAATAATTCTAAAAAGACAGGTTTCTGAATTAATTTATGTAACATATTAGAAGTTCAGATAAAGTAATTTTGGGAGGAAAGGGAATCCAGGTTAAAAGGAGTCTGGGGCTGGCAGGTAGCATGGTAGTTAAGAGCACTCAACTCCCACATGGACGACTGTGGTTCAAGTCTTGAAACTTTCTCACTTTCTCTCTCCCTCTCCCCTTTCTTGTCAAATTTAAATAAATAAATGAAGTTAAATAAAATAATTCTTAAAAAAAAAAAGCATCTGCCTGACTTAACTTAGAGAACTTCTGACTGAATACCTATAGCAGTATACATTAAACCATACTCACCCTATCTTATATATCTATAAACATGCTGACCAAGTTGAATACAGGATTATTCAATACTTTTTAAAGAAATAAAGTGTATAAAACTTATTCAGTCTTTCATATCATTTTATTTTCTCCCTTCCACCATGATAATATGATATCCAAATTTTGTCTTAACTGGTGGGTCTGTAAACACAGGTTTATCCATCCCACTGACCGGCAAGGCAAATGCTGCTTCTTGGAATGGTCCCACCATGGATCCTCTGGTCATCCACCCCAAGTCACCCTGAAAAACCCAAAAGATCCATGATGACAAGTGGCCCTGAAAAGGGAACAGCTCTACTGTAGCTAGAGAAAATTTCCTGCCACAAATGCTGAGGTTACTACTAGGTTTATTCAGCCGGGCTATACATGAACAGAGCAAGGACACACAGGTGGAAGAAGTCTGACCCTAGACTGAACATATATGCACTAATAATACTGCTGGGCTTTGATGTTAACTGTGCAAGCTTGGTCAGGCCAAGATTTAGACATAGATGACAAGTTAGATGTTTCTGCTTTTACAGTCTCTCAGCCAAGACATGGCTAAAATTAATGGCAGAACACAGAAATAATCCCTGCTTCTGTTTCTTCTGGGGAGGACAGAAAGTTAAGGAGAAGAGCAACATACCCCTTTCCTGGCTTTATCTTCACTATATTGTGTGGCCATTTCACTGAATCTTATTCCAGACTTTAACTTTTCCATGGCTTCCATAATTTTGCTGTGTTTTTCACATAGAATGTGTCTGACCTACGAGGAAAAAGTATGTTCATACAGTATAGTTCTCAGTGATTCCTCACAGTGTAGCTGTTACATCTGGATTCTCCCAACCAGTAAAAAAAAGGAAAACATGACTAAGTGTGGAAACTGAAAGTCCTGGAAGTCTGCCCAGTTGGGCAATAGCTACAAATCCACTTCTAGTATCAAGACAACATTTCGGAACCCTGATTCAGAAGGAAAATGGGCACCTGGTTGTGGGAAGTTCCCACTATTTATTTTTAAATTTATTAATTTATTTTACATTCATTCGTTGTATATTCTTCTTTTTGGGGGGGAGAGGTTTTTGCTATAGGGCGCATGCGCTCGCCAGAAAGAGAGAGAGAGACACAGAGACAGAAAGCGAGAAATCACCCCCCCAGGGGGGATGGCCACACCGCAATCCCTTTTCCTCCATTCTCCTCTTGGGACCTTGGGCATGCACGCACACGTGCCCGGTATGAGTTTTAGGCCACCAGGTCTGGAATGAGAACCATGGTCAACTACATGGGAGTCCAGTGATATAGCCATTACACTAACTGCTGGTCCCCATTCACTGTATATTCTTACAGCACACAAAATGAATTTTCCCATCCAGAATACACTGAAATCAAAGATATTACCATATCCATTATCTTCAACAGATCATTTTCCATTTTATGTTTCTTAACTATTTTACTTCTTTTTTCCCCCTTGATTCCCTCCCTCTCACCCTCTGCCATTTTCTACCATCCTCCCACACTTGTCTGTGTCCGCAGTTGCATTTTTAAACCTCCAAGTATCTTCCTCAGTTGTGCACCAAGATACCAACAGTACCTATGTGTCCTCACAGAGTCGTGAAGATTGAGATAATGCAGCTAGCAGTCAATAAATGGTGATTTATTATTATTTATTTAATCAGAGTGGGAATATGAAACGACGCCATCAGGAAATATTATTTACCAAAAGAGTGCTAATGTGTAAAGCCTCTCCACAATTCCACACTTTGAAAAAGTGTATGCTGTTGGGACTAGCAGTTAGCGTAATGGCTATGTCACTGAACTCCCATGTAGTCACGGTTCGAGTCCCGGACCTGGTGGCTTAAACTCACACCAGGAGCATGTGGGTGCATGCCCAAGATCCTGAGAGGAGAATGGAGAAGGGATTGCGGCATGGCCATCACCCCTGGGGGGTGATTTCTCGCTTTCTGTCTCTCTCTGTTTCTCTGGTGAGCACACGTGCCCTATAGCAAAAACCTCTCAAAAAAAAAAGAAAAAGAAAAAGTGTATGTTGAATATTAGGAATACTCAACCCCATAGAAGTATTCAAATTTGACCTGTTTACATAAAGCCAGGGTTTTAAAAAACACTATATCCTTAAAAATGACTTTATCAGAGATAGCTGTTTTACAGGATTTCCCATTTCTCAAACAGAAATCAGTTACTTCACCATGTAGGTGATACATTGGGGTGGGGACTAAAGATATCTCATAATTTAGTCAAACCAAGGTTGTCCTGGTTTGACTACTAAAATGGGGTGTGTGTGTGTGGGGGGTCCCTAGTCCTCTATAAGTAACTTCCTGACTGAAGGAACTACAAAGGAGCTAAGACATCAAAGGAGAGGGCTGGCAGGTGGCTTGGTGGTTAAGGTGCTGGATTCCCACATGCCTGGCTGTAAGTTTGAGTCCCGTACCTGGTAGCTTGCTATCTCACTTTCCTTCCCTCTCTCTCTCTGATCAGATTAAAACTAAATAAAGGGACCGGCAGGTGGCGTAACGGTTATGTCACTGGACACCCACAAGGTTGACTGCAGTTTGAATCCTGAACTTAGCAGCTTGAAACTCATGTTTCAAGGCATGGGTGCACGCGTGCCCAAAATCCTGAAAAGAGAGTGGAGAAAAGATTGCAGTGTGGCCATCCCCCTGGGGAGTGATTTCTCACTTCCTGTTTCTGTCTGTCTCTGACGAGCTCATCTGCCATATAACAAAAATCTCTCTTAAAAAAATAAAATAGAGTTTTCTTTCCCATTATACAAGATGACAGGTGAAAAAGCTGAGAAGAGGGGGACCAGCAGTTTGCGTAATGGCTATGTCGCTGAACTCCCATGTAGTTGACTGTGGTTTGAGTCCTGGACCCGGTGGCTTAAACTCACGCCAGGCACGTGTGCGTGCGTGCCCAAGATCCCAAGAGGAGAATGG